GGGGGAAGGGGTGTACATGGCGGCCACCACCACCACTGCACCGCTGCAGCCGTACCTCACAGCACTTGACCGTGGCCGGCAGCAGGAAAGTTACATGGGATGCGGTGCGGTGGTGGCGACTGCATGCAAGGCCCTCTCAGTGAAAACCAGGATCCCTGGTGATCAGTTAGAAAAGTTAGACATTTATAAGTCAGCAGAACCAGATGAATTTCATCTGAGTGCTGAAGAGGCTGACCAAAGTCATTGCGGGACCTCTGGCACTCAGGGGAGGTCCCTGAAGACTGGAAGAGAGCCAGTGTTGTGCCTCTCTTCAAGAAGTGGAGGAAAGAGGACCCAGGCAACTAAAGGCCAATTAGCCTAACTTCTATGCCAGGGAAAATCGTGGAAGAATTCATCAAGGAGTCTATGCGAGACAGTCTTGCAGAAGGTAGGATTCTGAATGACAGCCAGCATGGCTTCGTTGAAGGCAGGTCTCATCTTACCAATCTTATCTCCTTCTATGACCAGGTAACTTGCCACCTGAATAAGAGCGAGCACGTTGACATTGTATACCTAGACTTCCAGAAGGCCTTTGATCTGGTATCCCATAATGTTCTCACAGGAAAATTGGAGGATTTCAGGCTTAACTGCTCAATAGTTAGGTGGGTAGGAAGCTGGCTGCAGGGTAGGACCCAGAGAGTTCTAATGAATGGATCTGTGTTGTCCTGGCGAGAAGTGGCCACTGGTGTTCCTCAGGGGTCTCTGCTTAGTCCAGTGCTTTTCAACATCTTTATCAATGATTTGGATGTGGGAGTGAAGAGCTCACTGGCCAAGTTCACAGATGACACCAAGTTATGGGGCAGCATGGTTACACTTGAAGATAGGCCGCAGATACAAGCAGACCTAGACAGGCTGGCAAGCTGGGTTGATCAGAACCAGATGAAGTTCAACACTGAGAAGTGTAAAGTGCTCCATCTGGGGATGAACAATCCCTAACATACTTACAGGCTCAGCGGCACCAAACTGACTAGCACCATGAGTGAAACGGACCTAGAGGCAATAATAGACCATAGTATGAATATGAGCTATCAGCGCGATGCTGTAGTCAGCAGGGCAAACAATACTCTGGCATACATCAACCAATGCATCACAAGCAAAACCAGGGAAGTGATTCTTTCGCATTACTCAGCATTGGTGAGACTGCAGCGGGAGTACTGTGTCCAGTTCTGGGTGCCACACTTCAACAGGGATGTGGAAAAGCTTGAGAGAGTCCAGAGAAGAGGCACCCATATGATCAGAGACTTGCAAGGCAAGCCATACAAGGAAAGGTTGAGAGACTTGGGTCTCTTCAGCCTAAAAATGAGAAGGCTGAGAGGGGACTTGCTAGCAGCTTACTGCTATATCAAGGGAATACATCAAGGGCTTGGCAAACAACTGTTCACCAGGGCACCCTTGGGGAAAACCAGGAGTAATGGCCACAAATGACTGGAAGACCATTTCAGGTTTAACACTAGGAAAAACTTCTTCACATTCACGGTGTCGACTATGGAATAAACTCCCTCCAGAGGTGGTGCAGTCACCTGCATTGGAAATCTTCAAGAGAAGAATGGATGGTCACCCTCACTGGGGTCACCTGACTCCAGCTGTCTTTCCTGCCTAGTGCAGGGGGGCTGGACCCAATGATCTTGTGAGGTCCCATCCAGGGGTTTACAATCTATGAATCCTGGTAAGGCTGGCCCTACCAGAGGGGTCAGGTTCCATCCAGGCAATTTCCACATGGCTGCATTGGGCTTGGCTGGGCCATTTCTGTAGAGCTTCACTGGGCCCCAGTTGTGCTAGTAATGCACGGCAAATCACGCCCACAAACAGACCTGGCTCTGTTCATCCAGCCTATAGGCCAAAAAGGTTGGGCACAACAACTCTAACCAATTTAGCTCACTGAGCATCACCGAGTGGGTCTGATCATTTCCATTTCCATGCCTTGATTTTTGCCTGATAAAGCTAAGCAGTATGAAAAAGGCATAGATCCCTTGCTGATATTAGATTTCAACCCCCTTCTTTTAAAAGATAAAGAGACTTGTGCATTGGGAAACCAGAAAGCCAAATTGTTCTTTACAAATGTAGCTTGTTGTGCATCACTGAGTGTACCCTCTCAGTGTACCTCAGGGTACATCTCAGAGTGTACCCTCTAAGTAGAGCTAAGCAGTATGAAAAAGGCATAGATCCCTTGCTGATATTAGATTTCAACCCCCTTCTTTTAAAAGATAAAGAGACTTGTGCATTGGGAAACCAGAAAGCCAAATTGTTCTTTACAAATGTAGCTTGTTGTGCATCACTGAGTGTACCCTCTCTAGACTGATGCTAAGTAGACAGCCTCTCAGCACTTGATTTATCTGTCCAAACTTAGTAGACATTATAAAGAAGGAGGTGAATATAATATATTTCAATAGTCACAGGTTCTTTTATGGCCTCCTTGCTCATAGTTTGCGAAAGCTTTACAAATAACTCATGTTCCTCTTACTTTCTAAAATAATAGAATGAGTTTTCTACCCTGTTCAGATGGCTATTTAATGATCTTGTCCCACCACACTACCTCTAAAAATTGGGTTACAAAGGGCTGTTCCCACAATCACACTGCTCTCCAAGTATATGCAGAAGATATTCATAAAATTCACTTAACAGATTTAACAGCTGGACAATGAAGATCTACGGTCATTTAAATAATTTCAAGTCATCATCTTTGAAGGTATGTTTACCTTAATTTTCCCCTTAGCCCAAATTAGAAGATTTAAACCAACAATAAGCAGAGGAGAATAAAAAGACACAACTTAATCACAAATACATGCAGACAGAAAACACTAGATGGAATTGCTATAGCTAATGTATCAAATGCATCTAAAATGCTCTTTCAAAACATAAGAAAAGCAGATACAGGAAACCCTTAATATTCACGAATCCACTATTTGTGGATTTGAATATTCACAGTATGCCACGCCAACTGGGTGGGTCAGGGAGAGTGCTGCCGCAGCTCCCTCTGGCGCTGCACAAAGCTTCTGCCTCTGCAGTTAAGCCAGGCACAAAGCGCTGCATGGGGCGGGGGTGGGCAGAGCTGGGGAGAGTGGAGTGGAGAGCAGTCAGGCGGGCGTAGAGTGAGCTCCAGGGACGGGGAGGGAGGCGGTGGTACCTTCTACCCCAGAGGCAGCCACGGTCAGTCCCCAAGTACTGCAGGGGAGCCCTGCGTTTCCAGCCCCTTGTGGAGGGGGAGCAGGCGGCAGCTGTGGGGTCTGACAGGGAGCCCAATCAGTATTTGTGGATTTTGCCATTTGTGGGGATCTCCAGAACAGATCCCCCGCAAATGGCAAGGGTCTCCTGTATTCGTAACCAATCAAGTTCAAAGTTCTTTATTCAGTAATTTCCCTCCATAAATTGAGAACATCCTAACTTCTTGTAGTAAGGCATTTTTCTGCGCACACTGCTGTGATATCAACCCTGACAGCCAAAGAAACAGAATTCCCATATGTAACAAGAGGTTTCTTAGAAAATTCCTATTATTACTACAATAGCTGTTGGTTCCTATTCCTATTATTACTACACTGGAACACTGGAATGTTCCAAATTTATATTATTACTACAGCAATACTTTGAGCTACAGAGTAGTGACCCACTGGTGACATCCTAGCAGATGCTGACAACAGCTAAATGGCCAGGCACCAGGGTGGATAAAAATCAATTTTTAAACAAAGAAAAAAAATCGGTTTTTTTTACATTTAAATCAGATTTTTTGTATTTAATTATACATTTATTTAATGTAAATAGGTCACAACGGGCCACAGACTATATTAGGAGCCCAATCTTATGGGGCTCCCAGAGGCTCCTCTAGAGATTCATAAAGATTAAAGAAAACCACTCTATCCAATGGGACTCAGTGTTCAGTCTAGAAGATCCCATTAAGCATCTCTGTTAACTGAGCTTGTCTTTCTTTTCAGGTTCATGAATACACAGGAAGAGGGAGGTGAAGACCGAGTTTGCTGCATAACCCAGTATTTTAAGTTTCTCATGTTAACCTGGCTGAAGTAATCTATTTATTTTTTGTTAAAAACCACATTTCACCTTTATAACTAAGATAGTTAAAAATTCAAAAATACATATGATTGTTTTATTAAAATAATTATGTTTGTTGTTGAATAAAAATGTCCAAAATACACAAGCTTGTTGTTTTAGTTAAATAAATCAATTTAAATGTCTGTTGGTTTTGGTAATGATTGTTGTTGTCCTCCTAATACAGCGTGGCAAAAATATTCCCCAAATATTCATGATTAATCTAGTGAATTGGAGATAGTTCACCTCCTAATGACTTCACACAGTATCTGCTTCAATTAGCTTTGGTAAGTAAAATACTAAATCATAATTCAGTTTTCTGATGTAGCAGCAGAATTAATTTGAAAACAATATCAAAGTAAATCACTGCTTTAAAATGTATAGTGTGTACCTTCTAAAATGAAACCTACATCTCTCTCTCCAAGTTGTGAATAATATGTATTAAAGTTATAACAAACAAGAATGCACTTTTTGTAGAAAACAATGATTAAATCAAGGCTTTCTGACCAGTGATTTAAATCATTATTTAAATAGATTGGATTTAAATCAAACCCATCCTGCCAGGCACAGTAGGATCTGTACTGTTCAAATTGCAGGACTAGTGCTTTAGAGCAGTGTTTCCCAACCAGTGTGTGGCAGCACAAAAATATGCAGTTAGAAATTAACAGGTGTGCTGCGAAATTTTGACACGGCAATGAGCTACAATAGGTATCAGGATGGGGAATGGCTTAACAGGTGTGCTGCGGAAAATTTTTATTAGTGTGTGTTTTGGGCTGGAAAAGGTTGGGAAACACTGCCTTAGAGCGTGCTGATAACCAAATACTCTGAAAGTTTCATGAAAACTTCTGCATTTAATCATTGTTGAGGGGGAAGAAAAACACACATTTTCCACATTTTAGGAGCCATTTTTTTCCTGTACTTACTCTGTCTTTGTCATGCAGCATGTCTGCATAGCGTGATCTAAAAATGAAGTTAAAATGAAAACACAGCATATTAAACAGTGCAATATAAAATTGGGAGAATAATTTTTGCTACGAGACCTAAAGAAATTAGTCCTAGTGAGTAGCTAGATCACTGAGAGACTGCAATTTCAATCCCTGCTCCAAAAGATTCAGTTCAATTATTGTTCTATATGTTCTCCCAATTTGTGTAGTATAAAGTATGAACGAGCAGAACACAAATTATTATGCTATAATTTGGTTTCTTCTGATAATTTCCGCATCATATTTTCTTTCAGCAAATTGGGGAAAAATAAATAGATCAATAAACAAACCTATGAACCAGTTACTGTCAAGAATTATTATTATTATTAGATGGAAAAGTCAGATGCAGTAAGCTATTGAAAACCTCCAAAAAACTGCATTAAAAAGGTTAAATGTCTCAGAAAGAGACTGCTAGCCTATAGAAATGCAGCCTGCCACACTGGCTTTTGAAATTATGCACTGCTTCATTTGCTCATTTTATTAATGTATAGTTCCAGTATTTCTTCCCACCATACCTTGCAATTTCCTGATGATAGTCATAATCCTCATCTTCCTCTAACCACTCCATTGCACCTGTTGTTGGATTGGCCCTTCCACAGAAGATCTTCATAATGGATCCCAACTTATAATATCTATGTATTGGATACAGGGTTGTTGATTTGCCTTTGAGTATGATTTTTACCTGATGGTCAAAAACCTGTTAACAAAACAGAAAACTGAAGTTATAGTATGACAAACCTATGTAGTTTTCTGCCTTTATATGCCACGTTCCTAAGCATCTCTTCAGTAAACAAACATGCACTTTTATCTTCTCTCAAGCCAACCTTTAACATGGGAGTTTTCTCCCAATCAATCAAACATTCTGTCTGTTCACACTGAAGATTTATTATTATATAACATATAATCGCGGATAAGCAGGAACAGAAAAACATGGGCACAATCACTAAAAATAGGCAAAAAAAAAAGTAATCTGATCCCTTACACAGCCTTCATTTCATACCCTGTGTGTCTGAATCCATGTTTATCCAAATCACATAATCCTTAATACCAGGAAGAGGTCTTCCCCTATTTGTATGAAAATATGCCTTGATGGCTTGAACACTGCCAAGATGTGGCTCCTGAAATCTCATGTACCTCTGATTCAATTAGTCCAGAACTGTGGCGCTCAACATTTTTACCCTGCTGGTCAGATGGAAAGTGATGGGTGCGACCCCAGGCCAGATCCAGCTGGTGGCCTTGATCTGGTGCCTGGAGCAGGTGCAGCAAACACCACCTGGCTATGCAGAAGGGGCTGGTGGCAGGTTGGCCCCAGTGTGGCAGCTCAGGTGAAAGAAGGTTGACCCAGACCTTAATTTCATTTTTACATAACAGTACACAGCATGCTGCATGACAAAGACAGTCTTTTTCAGCAACCCCTCACAGTTGAGGATGATAGATAGTCTCCCATGACTGTTTATCTGCAAGTCCTATCTGAGATAGATAGACTCTACTGTAGCTTCTATATGGGTTTCCATGTGGTGTGTGTGGTGCTGGATTCTTTATTTGGTCCATGACACTGTTTTTGCTGCTCCCACTTTTCCATTTCTTGCTGTTGTCATGCCCTGCAGCAGACTCTTCTTCTATTTGGGGTGGTCCTGGGTGATAATCTTCAACTGAGTTGACATCCATGTTGCATTCTTTTAAGTTGGCCCTGAAGCACTTTCTCTGCTCTCCTCTTGAGCATCTATCGTGGCTGAGCTGGGAGAATAAAACTTGCTTTGGGAGCCTGGAGTTGGACACCTGGACAACATGGCCGGCCCAACGAAGCTGATGCTGGATGATCATTGCCTCAGTACACATGGTGTTTGCTTGCAGGATGCCAACATTGGTGCGTCTGTCTAACCACTAGATTCAGAGGATCTACCACAGGCAGCGTTGATAGTACTTCTCCAACAACTTTAAATGTCTGTTGTACATTGTTCATGACTCAGCTCCGTACAGTAAGGTGGGAATCACGATGGCTTGATAAACCATGAGCTTGGTTTCAAATCCTATGTCATGATCTTCAAATGCCCATTTCTTCAGGTGTTCAAAGACTCCATTTGCACATTTAAGGCAATGCTGGATTTCTTCAATGTTAGCCTTCTGTGAGAGATGGCTTCCAAGGTACATGAAATACTCAACGTTCTCCAGATTGTCACTGTTAGGGGTGCACTGATAAAGTTTTTTTTGGCTGACAGCCAATTATTAACCAGCCATATCGGCTAAATTACCAATCCGATAACCGATTTACAGGAATGCAGCCAGGCAGCAAGGAGGGCAACTCCCTGCAAGTAAGTCTGTGAAGGGGAAGGGGAGAGGCATGGGGCAGGGAAGAGGCATGATCAAGGCCCTCATGGTGAGGGAGAGAGTGGGGCAGGGATTGGGGCTGGGGGCACTGCCCAGCCAGGGTAGTGAATGGGACCTGGGGTGAAGAGTGGGACGGAGCCACAGGCAGTTTATTCAGGGAAGCAGGGTCCCAGTGCTTAAAAATGGCAGCGGAAGTGCTTGAGCTAAAGCTTGTTAAATGACCTTTAGTTCAAGCACCGCCACTGCCATTTTTAAGTGCAGGGATGCTCTTAACTGGAGCAGAGTCAAGTGGGATGAGGACAGATGCAGGCTGCTCGCTGTGGGCTCAGGGCTCTCCACCCAGCTGCCTTTGCCCCAGCAGCACTGTGCCATCCGTGTGTCCCCGACCCGCCCAGCACTGGAAAGTACAACTTGCTGGCCCCACTGCTGCCAGGTGGTGTGGGGCTCCCAGTGAAAAGGCAGCACAGCAGAGAGCCCCCAGCTTACAGCCTGCATCTGCCCCATGCACAAATCATGCCCCCCAGGGCATCTGTACGCAGCAGCGGGACCCCCCCCCAGCTCCATTCCTTTCCCTGCCCCAGGTCCCATTCACTGCCGTTTGTGCAGTGCCCCCAGTTCCAGTACCTACCCCACTCCCTCCCTCACAGTAGGCACCTCAATCTGCCTCCCCCCATGCCCCTTCCCCTCCACAGACTTCCCTACAGGGCACCCCTTCCCCTCCAGACTTACCTCCATGCTTCCCCTGCTGCATTCTTGGCCACATACGCGTGTGCAACTGTGCACATGCACACAGCACGTGAGTGCCCCAGCCAGAAGACCTAGCTAATTATATTTATCAGCGAATATTATTGGCTACACCAGCCAAAAAAAGCTGATAGCTGATCACGTAAATTTTGTTTTTGTTGATGCTGATTCAATATGTGATCTATATACTGGTGCACCTCTACTCACTGTGGACCTGGATTACTGGAGCTGGGGACTGTTCATTAGGACCTTGTTGGTGGAAGACCACTGTCTGAATGTTAAACATCAGTCTCATTTTCTTATGTGCCCCCATAAAGACATCAACGGCTGCCCAAAGATCTGCATCCACGTACAGAAAAAGTTTCTTGAAGTGTGGAAAGTGTGTTTTTCTCTTCTCCCTCAACATCTTTAGAGATTCATTCTCATGAAAGTTTCAGGTACTAAGTTATCAGCATGCTCTAAGGGGGCTTGGCCCAGCTCCATCCACAAGCGAGGGGAGGGGGCACAGCCCTGCTCTACAGCGGAACGGGACTAGGCCTGGCTCCGACCGGCTCTGCGGGGCTTGGGAACCGGGCAGGGGGAGAGCGGCTCAATTAATGGCCACCGCCCTCCTGCCGCCAAACTTCCAGAAGCGCGGGGGCCCCGCGGGTCAGAGGCTGCACACCTCGGTCTAGAAGGGTTATCTGTGTCCGGCCTCCCCGAGGGGCGGGGGTGACGGAGAAACGAACAGCGAGGCTGGCCGGCGGGAGCCTGCGTTAGAGCCGCACCAGCTGCTCCCGCGCGGCCCCCCCCTGCCACTCCGGCCGCTCAGCAGCAGCGCGCTGCCATCTTGCCAGAACGCACCGCCCGCCAAGCCGGAAGCACCTCACGCCTCGAGCCTCCCCCTGGGCCCAAGCCGGCTCCCGGCGAAGGGGGCTGAGCCATGCGCAGCGTGACGTCACGCACCCGGCGCTGAGGCTTTGGGCCTCGGGGGCGGGGCCAAGCAAAGCAGTGGGCGGGGCCGGTTTGGTTTCCCGGCGTGCTATGCGTCACAGCCTCCCACTATGGAGCGCGCCGCGGTGCTGCGCGTCAAGCGGAAGCGCGGCGGGCCGGAGCCGGCCGAGGCGCTGGTGTTGTCGTGCAAGCGGCCGCGCACCGAGCAGGGCGGCGACATCGAGAGGAACCTCTTTACGCTTGTGGCCACAGTCGCCTCGCAGGTACCGCGCGCCCTGCCCCTCCCCGTACCGCAATGCTTGTAGAAGACGCGCGCGGAGAGCAGAGGCCGCTTGGCCTCCTGCGGGGAGGTCCGTGCCCTGCAGGGCCTCAGTCTTCCCCTTGCAGACTGTGTCTCGGCACGGAAGGACCAGAAGCAATTTGCAGGGTGAATATTCCCGTCTGCAGCTTTGCCTCTGCACAATGGATCGTTTTATGAAAGGGGTCAAATTTGCTCGAGGGAGAGATTAGCTCTTGCTTGGGTTCTAGTTCAAGACTATGAAACACATTTTCTCGCAAACCAACAGCTGACAGACTTCACCATTTCAAGTGCAAAGTACCTTTCTATTTAGTCTTGCTCCTTCTCATCATTAGTAGCTCCTTGATTTGAGGTACCACGGCTCATCGATCAGTCTTGATGCTCCACCTAAGACACCATAAAGCAGCATGAATAACAGGGGCAGGCAAATTACAGCCTGTGGGCTGAATTTGGCCCACCAGGCAATTTCATCCAGCATGCAGTTGCCCACGAATTAATTGCACCCCACCCAACCCGTGCACCTCCTGCCCACCTTCATGCACAGAAGAGCCCTGGACAGGACGCACAGCTTCCAGGCAGGGCAACTGCTGCTGGGGGTCCTGCTTAGTTTCTCCCGCCTCCAGCAGCTCCTCCTCACGCCTGTGCTGCAACACTCACTCCAGGCAGCAGGTAGGGAAATGGTGGTGGGCAGGGGGGAAGCTGCAGCAGGGTGGGAGCGTGGGGCTGGGGCTGGGAGCACAGAACTTAGGTGGGTAGGTTGTGGGTATGTGAGGTTTGAGGGAGGGGGGACCGCCCCATGTCTCCCACCCCCCCCCCCCATGGTGCACAGCCCCCCGTTGCTAGGAGCAGCACACAGCAGGCCCTTGGGGTACTCATGGCCCTCCGTGCTTATGGCTCACGCAGGCACAGCTGCCCAGCAGCACACAGCTCTAGCTAGTTCTAAGATCTGTAGATGGTGGCAAGGAGCGGAGCCAAGCCGGCCTGCCTCTATCGTGCCATGCTCTCCATGGCTCACATGCAGCTCCTGGGACTCGCACGCCACTGAGGGGAAGCCCCATGTGTGGAGCCAGCTGCCTTCCCTTATTCCTGTTGCTGCGTGCAGCTTCCAGGACTTGGCCAGCAAGCAGAGCGTCCTGCCACTTCCCTGGTGGCAGGGAGCAGGGAAGGCATCCAGCTCCATTGCGTGGGGCTTCCCCCCAGCACAAGTCCCAGGAGCTGCATACTGAGCTGCAGGGAACCCCATCCAGTAGATGGGGGCTGGCTTGGCAGCAAGAAGCAGAGCCATGTGCGACTCCTGGAACTGGCTGGAGCCATGCGTTAACTGGGTGTCAGCGCCTACACGGGCCATGAGCACCCTGAGGGCCTACTGCTGCTGCCACCACCAGTGGGGACTATACCATGAATAGGGGGCCGCGTGTGGGTGAGGTCCCTGCACCTCCCCCCACACTCCCACCCAACAAACCACACACCCCCACACTCCTGCATATATACACACACACCAATGTCCCCAACATACCCTTCCCTCCTCCACACACACCCCATACAATACAAGTTTTCTTCACTTTATGCTGTACATGTGTTCCTGGAAAATGGCACATAACTCAAATTCACATAAAGGGAACCCACTTTACAATATAACAAATAGGAATGCAGTCCAAGACCTCGACTGTATTGACCCCCAGATCCATTTTTACCACTTTTACAAGACAGTTTTGGTACTCACCAACAGCAGAAAGTAAGCACAGGGCACTATAATGATGGGGATGGCAACTACAGAAACACACGTCGCAGACAGGAGACTATATTTGGTGTCTCTCTCTCCTACAATGCAGCACAGTGGGCTTCCACCACCACTGATAAGAGTCGTGTGCCTAAAAGAGAATTTACCTTGCATATAATGAATTTTTGGTATAAAAAGGGACATTGCATAAAAGTGAATTTGCACATACAAAACCCACATAAAGTGAAGGAAATCTGTATACAAGAGTAAGATTTTATTTTTGAGCTATTATGCAATTATCTCTCTCTCTCTCTCTCTCTCTCTCTCTCTCTCTCTATATATATACACACTATGCAAATACATGTAAATGAGGACAAAATATATCTTTCAAATACAATTAAAATGTTATAGAAGCTTTTTGACCTTTAGTATATGATTTGGGTTTTTTTCTGGTTCCAGGATGGCAATTCCCCTGCCCCCTCCAAAGGAATACTTCCAGGAGCAAGGGGAAGGATTTACAGTGGCAAAGTCCAGGGATTAGGGGCAGGACTTCTCATCCCAAGATGGTGACCAGGGGGTGGGGCTACCCTTGCAACCCTTAAGCGGCCCTCCAGGCAAAATAATTTGCCGGGGGTGGTGGGGAATAGTTTGAGGCCCTCGCAGGAAGGGAGGGAGTGGGGTAGGGGGCGGGTTCCCCCTGCTGCACACACTCCTGGAGGAGGTATGGGGGGCACATGCCCCCCAAATTTGTATGCAGGGTGAGGGTGGGCTGCGCTTAGGGCAGGGGTGGAGTGGGTGATGGGGGGGGTGCTACAGCGAATTTAGGAGTACTGAAGCCCATGCCATAGCCCTCACCCCTCCCAGCACTGCCTCTGCCTGCCCCGAGCACAGTCCCAGCCCAGCCCTCCTAGTAGGAAGGAGCTGACACAGCCCCTGAGCCTGCAGCAGGCAGCCTGCCCTCACCCTGCACACAAATCCAGGGGGTACATGCCCCCCATGCCTCCCCCAGGGGGGCACACAGCAGGAGTCACTGCCCCACTGATAAGCCACCTGCAGCTCCATCCCACACCCTGCTCAGCACCTACCCCTATCCCACTCCCTCACTGTGGGGGCCTCAATCTGCCCTGTCCCCCAAGCCCTTTTCCCCCCCCGCAGGCTTACTGGGCAGATGCTACTATCCAAGGTGCCGGGCTGCATATTGGCTATCAGATCACTATCAGCTGATATGGCTGGTCAATAATTGGCCATCAGGATCGGCCAAAAAAACCTTTATCAGTGCACCCCTAGTAGATGCAGCATGTTTTCAGAAACAGTTTGAGTTCTGATAGTGTAATTTTAATCTTCCCCTCTACCCAGGATGAACCAGTTCAGAAGTATGTACGAGAAGCTATTACTCGAGACAAAACAGCTCACGTTCTGCGGCCCTCTCTCAGAAGTGCTCAAAGAATCTTTCAGGACCTGCATTATTCCAAGCAGGTGAACAGGAAGGAAAACCGATACCGTCTCTTAATAAGTCACCGGCCAGACTGCTTTGAGAAAGAAACCATTGCACTTGATACAAATGATGAAGAGTTAACTAAGGGTGAGAGATCAGACTGTGAAGCAAAGAACGATGCTTCACAAAAAGAGAGCAATGCTACTGATTGTGGGGGGTTCCAGTTGTTTGATATAGTACAAGAGGAGGAAGACCCCAGTATTGTTGCAGCACACACACAGGTTGGTATTGAGACTTGTTTAGCATTGAAAAGCTAAACTAAAACTATTCTGTGCAGTAAAATTGCATACGTGGGCAAATTTGAAAGAGCCCGTATTTGCCACTGGCATTAAATCCAGTTTGATGCTTATATATAAGGCCTTTAAAAATACATTTGTTTGCTGGAAGACTAAACATAAAGGTTAAAAAAAATATAAAAGGGTCTTTATACCAGCTTAACTAACTAGCTAACATTCTAAGCTGCTTGTAGATGTTAAGAAAAACAAAAAAATCCCCATGCTGTACCAGAATCAGCAGTACGTTACTTTAACCTGACTCCATAGCACCTGTAAAGATCAGGTGCTTCAGTGGAGCTTTTTAGCACTCTAATCTAAAGCTGAGTCAATCAGCTATTAGATGAAAGTGCCAGAAAAGCCCCACTGAAGCACCTGATTATTACAGACACTGCACAGCCAGGTTGAAATGATATACTGCCTCTTCTGGACATGTGCAGGGCTCAGCATGGGAACACACCGAGTTTAAAGTAAAGTGCAGTATGTTTGGGGGTTTTTTTACATCTGCAAGCACCTCTAGTATCATATGAAACCTTCCTGGAAGTAGTCCTTTTAGTGGGAAAGGGAAGGTACTTGGGTTTCATAGAATCATAGAAAATTAGGGTTGGAAGGGACCTCAGGAGGTCATCTAGTTCAACCCCCTGCTCAAAGCAGGACCATTCCCAACTAGATCATCCCAGCCAGGGCTTTGTCAAGCCAGGTCTTAAAAACTTGAAAGGATGGAGATTCCACCACTTCTCTAGGTAATTTGTTCTAGTGCTTCTCTACCCTCCTAGTGAGAGAGTTTTTCCTAATATCCAACCTCCCTTGCTGCAACCTGAGACGGTTGCTCCTTGTTCTGTCATCTGCCACCACTGATAACAGTCTAGCTTCATCCTCTTTGGAACCCTGCTTCAGGTAGTTAAGGCTACTATCAAATTCCCTTTCAGTCTTTGCTTCTGCAGACTAAATAAACCTAGTTCCCTCAGCCTCTCCTCAGAAGTCATGTGACCCAGCCCCCTATTTTCATTGCTCCCTACTGGACTGTCACCAACTTGTCCACATCCTTTCTATAGTGGAGGGCGCAAAACTGGACACAGTACTCCAGATGTGGCCTCACCAGTGCAGATTAGAGCAAAATAATTATTTCTCTTGATCTGCTGGCAATGCTAGGCTAATGCAGCCCAGTATGCTGTTGGCTTTCTTGGCAACAAGGGCACACTGCTGACTCATCCATCTTATTGTTCACTGTAACCCCCCCCCCCCAGTCCTTTTTTGCAGAGATCAGAGAAGGAGTGATTGTCCTGTGAGAAGTGTGCTCCCACACATAATTGGGTATTCTTGTCTTTGATAGATTTTTATTGTGTTCATTCTCATGCGCAGTTGTGGGTGCACACTTCTCACAGGACAATCACTCCCTCTCCAATCTCTCAGTTCTTATCCTCAAAGGGAACTTACAAATTACCTTTTATAGATGAGCCTATGAACTTCACTTCATAAATCTACTGGATACAAAAAATCACGGACTTATAAATCCAGTGTCTATATTGACACATTACAACCTGCCTGACACCGGATTCACGAGGTTCCTGTCAGACCTGACCTCTTACATTCTTCTTTTCTCCCTTCTTTTCCCCTACTTTTCTGCCTGTTGTCCTAATTTTCAGCTATTTCCTTTTTCACAGGCAGCCTCTTTTTTACCTTGTCTTACTGCTACTGGAATATCTCCCTTTGGCCTTTTTTCCCCTGCTTTTTCCCCTTGCCTTCCCTGCTTTACACCTTTTGTCTTTCTAATTTCTTCTACCTATTTACATTCTCACCAACATCCTGCCACACTTTTAGCTTGTCTTATTCCTTGGAGTCTCAGAACAGCAGAGACTCCCTATGCCTGAAGAGGGGTCATTGCGCACAAAAGCTTCCTGAAAACTTTTTTCCAACTACTCAGTTTGTTTAATAAAAGATACCACATCTACTCAAAAAACCTTGCCTGTCTATATCCTTAGACCAACATGGCTACAACCAAAAACCCTTCAACACTTTAAAACTGGAAGTACCATTACTTTTCCTTAATAGCCTTTCCTTTATGAGCGTATAATCAGTTTCTGCAGAGACCAAAATAATATTGCTAGAAACAATGGATGGTCCAAAATGGAGGGAGGAGACAGGAAAAACTGTATAGACTAATTATGTCTTGATAAGGAAGTGATGCTGCAGGTTATCTTTAACCCAGACATTATTCTCATGGTCTGGGAATGTGTGGCCTTACAAATCAAGTTTGTTCTTTTCTGTCCCATTAGAGTCTAATATTCTAGATTCATAGATGTTAGGGTCGGAAGGGACCTCAATAGATCATCGAGTCCGACC